ACCATCAGCTGGAGTTATGAGAAGGTGGTTTGGGGCTAAATCAAAGAAAGACATTTCTATCTGGGGTTGCCTAACAATGCAATGCCTTTTGAAGCACTGAGCTCCCCATTACTAGAAATGTCCAGCCGTGTGAGGGGGTTTCTGTACTGCAGGGTGAGGGGTTGGATCAGGTGACCTCTGAGCTGCTTGTCATCCTGAGAGTCCATGAGGCCTTTAGCTTTCAGTGGAGACCTGCTTAGCTCTGGATTTGATGTAGGGAGGAAGAGATGAGCTCTAGCCTCTGGGCCTCTGGGGAGTGTCTACTAGAGGTGGAGAACGTGACTATCACTCTAGCTAGTCACCAAATAGTTCTGGTTTCCCTCATTCCAGGCACCTTGTAGGATTATGCTTCTTTGCATGCTTATGATTGGGTGGGACTGTGTGACCAGTTCTAGGCAACATGTTCATAGTGGAAGTGATGTGTGTTACATCTAGATTGGAGCACCGAAGTGCCAAAGCACAGTCCTCCAGTGTTCTTTTCCCTCTGTTTTGATGACTGGTTAAAATGTCAACTGTTCCTTCAAGCTGGGTCCTGAATAGGTTATTTAAAGTTACTGAGATTCAGGGGTGTTTGTTACTGCAGCATTACCTAGGCTATTCTGACTGATACAAGGAGACAAACTTTACCTATATGGAACACCAGAGAAAATATAAGATATACAACGTGCAGAAACAGCAGTGGGGCCCAGCCGGGCATGGCTCAGCGGTTGAGCGTCGACCTAGGATCCAGGCGATGGGGGTTCGATTCCCGGTCAGGGCACATGCCCGGGTTGTGGGCTCGATCAATGATTCTCTCATCATTGATGTTTCTCTCTCTCTCTCCCCCTCTCCTTTCCTCTCTCTGAAATCAATAAAGATATATTTAAAAAAAAAAAAAAAAGAAAGAAACGGCAGTGGGGTTGGACAACAGTTTTAGCATCTCAGCTGAGCACACAAACACCTTCGCATTCACTGTCTTTATCTCCCAACACTCTAGTAACACCCAACACTAACCATCTACTTGAGCTGTGCTCTCTCCTGTCCCAACACCCCAACTTCAAGTCCTTGTTAACATCATTTCTTCTCTCTTCATCTTCTTGTCTCTTCCCTTCCATTTGGTCAGATATCCTACCCGTTCCTGAAGGCACAGATCAAGTCTCATGTTCTGCAAGACATCTCCCTACTTGTAGAGACAAACAGGGCCACTCTTTGCAATGGCGGCAACACCTGTGGTCAAGATGTCTCTTACATGTGTGCCTCTAGCCTTTCATGTTAATTAGCCTCTACTCCGCAAACAGTTAATGAGCCATAAGGCTCTAGCTCACATATGTTTGCCAACCTCACAGCAGGTGCTCAATAAATACTGACTGAATAGAGAATAGTGCCATGAACATATACATGATACTTAAATATCCACAGAAGCTGACTAAAAAATTTAGGCACTTTTGCTAAGATATCATTTGTACTAACCAGTGAGTTTCTAAACGGGCACTGAACCAACAGTAAAATTACTGGGGGGCAGCAAGATGGCTGGCAGATGCTCCTTCTACCCTTTTCTGTGGGCCAGCAGCAAGCAGTATATTTGAGGTTCATCTCTGCCAGTCACCTATCATCTCCAGGGTCAGAGTCAATGCTGGTACCTAGGATTTACCTAGACTGCAGGTTGGCATAGGAATCTGAGTAAGTGGGGGAACAGTAGAGAAATCTGGAAAATCCAGACCTCCTGTTGCTTTTAGCAGCTATTTGGATATAGCTGGTTATTTCATGGAGACACAGAATGTAAACGATGAAAGAAATTCCAGAGAGGCTCAGAAGTCTGTGTAACCCAATGCCTCACTTTGCAGAAGAGACACTGGAAGGCATGCCACACCTGGGTGAACATCTGGTTCTCCTGACGTTTGAGACAAGGCTCTTTCACACTCTCCTAATGCTTCACTTTGCTACTTGGGGATCATGATGGACGAGGGGAGTGCCCTGTTCCTGGGAGTGTGGGATCACAGGCTGTTGGCCAGGACTCAGAGACACCATTTCTGACACCCCCACCTTTCCCAGGACTTTGCATGAACCCGTCTGATAAAGAGGTGTGCTCATTAGGTTCCCAGCAAGGTTTCATCACCTTGTTCAACAGCCAACACTGCCAGCCAAGCCCTTCAGTCCGGAAGTCCTTCCAAGGTCTAATCATAGGCCCTGCCTCTGTTGTGCACAGTAGTTTCCTTTCCTTGGCTCCACCATGCAGATGGAGAAGAGCTGATCGCTACTGATGCTACACAACCTTCATATGCCTGCAGCTTTCTTTCCTGAATGCTAAACCCCATGCCAGGACCTTGAAATGTTTTTTAACTGCACTGGGTTGCACTCTCTCATTTCAGGTGCTTTCCTTTAAATCATCTCCATGCATTTCCCCCAATATGATGAAAAGGTGAAAACTGTATTTCATCTGCCTAACTAAATGACAAGGTGAAGGACAAGGACTCTTGGAAACAGGCTGCCAGGATGCCAGAGTCCTCAATACAGCTGGATCCCAATTATTGGCAGTTGGACAGGCCTCCTCGAGCCTATGTTTGGCCCATTCTCTGTTCTGGTCTCTCTGACCCTCCTTCCTCCCATCTCTTGGGATCCAGCCTACTCTATGTTGCTCCCACTTTGTGCCTCGAAAAGGCTGCAGAGGATGCAAAGTTGTTTTTGTTTGTTTCTTTTGTTTTTACATTAGTTGAAATAAAATAAATAAGCCCAGTGCATGACTGATCCCCAAGATGGGGCCTGCACCTGGGTCCCTCCATGGCCTGTGACCCACTATACAGAGCTTTCTGGACAGAATGCAGCATGTCCGCATCCTCTGGCTACCCACCTTTCCCGGGCACATGTGGCCAAGGTAGGGCAGTCAGGGGGAGTGCCAGAGCAGCCAGCTACCTCAGTCTCAATTTAGCCTCAGTTTCCCTCTGAAACTAATTCTCCTTCATGGGCAAATGTGGGGAAGTAGAGCTGCCCTATCATCTCAGTGACTTCAGAAAGCTCAGCAAAGCTGCTGTGGCCAGAGGCATAGGGCCCACTAGGGACTGGCTGTATGGACTGGATCTGGGCCAACTCAGGCACCATTATAAACACCTACTGTGTGCAAGGCCCTAGGCCAGGGCAGTCAGGGAAGCAGAACCAGCCCTAGTTCCCATCTTTGGGTTGACCAGCTGGCTGAGGGTATAGGCAGATGCACAAGGAATGGCCTGATCACACCATGAATTAGGGAGAGGATCTGCCTGGATGAGAGGGCGCAGTGGCGAGGCAGGAGGTGTGCCTATGAGGCTGGTAGCTGTCCCTGAGAGCTGGTCCAGTGCTCCTACATCTAGTAGATCAGGTTGAAGGGACACTGAAGAATGGATGGGCCAGCAGCATCCCGTCAGAGCTGCACTTAAGAAATCCTGACCAGCTCTGATTCCTCTGTCAGAGGCCCAGGGTGGGGCTTCCACTAGAACGTGAGCCATCATGGACCATGGGGACAAAGGCGACGTCCTAGATAGCAGAGAATGAGAAGCAAGGAACTTGTCCTGATGCTGCTGAGCTGCCATGCCAGCCCCGAGTACCCAGCCAGGCTGTACTGAGAGAGTAAGAAACTTCCATCCGGTTTACATCGTTCTGTTGTTTGTGCCCCAATTAACTGAGTTACAAACGTCTAAATATCAGGCCTTTCAGCATTGAACCAAAGTTCTCCTGACCTCAGGAGACCTTGTTTCTATCCAGTTCCTCCCTCGCTGTGCAGTATGGTATATACACTCAGGCCCCAACCATGGCCTTCCATCGAGGGGGTCCTACTCAGTCCCACCTCCTCTGCTGGGCCTGCCAGGCTTCTTAACTCTGGGACACCTGAGGCCTGGGTCACCCTTTGGAAACTTGCATCTCCTGCCCTGCAGTGGGCATTCTTTTACACATTATTTTATCCTTCTAAGTAATAGAGCCCGTGAAGGCAGGGGCCATGCTTCAGGCCCACCAGAGCCTCCGCAACACCCCCTGGCTGAGGAATCTACAGGAAATCACTCCTGCAAATACCCTTGAATCTCTGGCCTGCTGAGCTGTGCTTGGCTCTGGGCAGCTTCACACAGCACTGGGGGTGTGACCATACCAACACTCAGGCCAAGTAGCCTTCCCTCTGACCCCAGTCAGCTTTCTGAAGTCAGGATCAAGTCATTGCATGTGCCCATTAAGGCTGCCCTCATCTCTCTGAACAGATGCAGTGTGAGGTTGGGTTGGGGGTGGGGATAAATGGTTCTCTCAGCCTAGGGGTCACCAGGGACGACTCTGAAAGGTCTGCTGCCTCCTTCCCTTCTGGCCACATAACCCACACAGAAGACCCTGGTCTGAGGACAGCCGGCTGGCTGAGGGAAATGGACGGGTCTCTGACACCTCTCCTCCACAGTCTGCCCCTTCAGATCCTCTGCAAACCTAGAGCAGAATCTCCAAAGTGCCCCACCAGCACCAAACCCTAGGAGCCCTATTATTTGTGGGATCCATCACCAACGTGGATGTGTGAACCTCCAGCTCATTCATTTTACTGCTGAATAATATTCCACTGTGAGGATATATCACATACCACTTGCCCATTCTCTGCTCAATGGACATTTGGTTGTTTGTAGATGTTTGTTACTATAAATAATGATACTACTAAAAAGAAATCTTATGAATCTATGTGCTCTTGGGAAGGGGTGCTTCACTGTGGGCTGGGTGCTCAGGGAGAACTTTCCAAGGGCAGACGGCACCCTCCCCTCTTCTACTTACTGCTCTCTCTACCACTGCTTCTCAGGACAGCCATGCTTTTTTGGCCTCTAATCCCACTGTCTCCCACAGGCAGCAATGAGGTATCAGAAAGAACAGCTGAATAACCAGAGGGTATACGAGGGACTTGGAGGGTCACCAAGGATCACCATCATGGGCCAGCCCAGAAACCCAGACAAGACATATGACAGCCCCCGATGGAGCACAGAGTTCTTCCCTACCTGCTGTGGGGGCGCTCGTCCTCGGGAGAAGGAACAGCTGCTGTCCAGCTGTTCACTGCAGTCTGCTGTCCACTGCAGGGGAGAAAAAAGTGGTCAGTGATGGCAGGACACACAGGCCCATCCTCACTCAGCCCAGGCCCCCCCGACATGGCCCTGTCCTCCTGGGGCAGAGACAGTATAGAATCCTGTTTGGCCATTTCAACAGCAAATCCTTCCCTGCCAGCAGATCCAGGCTGGTGTCTCTGAATTCCAAGTGGAGGTGACCCTTTGGTGTATACTTGGGAAAGTCAAAATCATTTCCCTTCACCTATACCCACCGAAGTGATGAAGATTCAGCTACACTCCCAAGTCAACAAGACATGACACAGGGTCATTGAGTTTTGAACAATGGGCACCTTGTTGGACTACCCGGCCAAGCTTTGGTCATGCTAGCCCTCTACAATGTCAAGGCCAAAGCTAGAGGTGAAGCATGTGTGTGGGTTTTCTGTATGCCCAGCTCCCAAAGATGATGGACCTATGGACTGACAGGTCAGCTAGGCATTGGGGGAAGAGCCCCAGACTGGCCATCAGAGCCCAGACCCACCACTTACCCTAAGAACTTAGAGGCCTGATGTGCCCCAAAGTGTGGTCTAAAAACCACCTGCATGACAGTCACAAAGCCTGCCACACTGGGGTCCCTGGAGCCCCCCTCTACACCCACTGAATCAGACTGTGAGGGCAGGACCTGGGCATCAGCATTTGACAAGCTCCCAAGTGATACACCAGAAATTTCAGAGCCACTGATACCCATGTGATCTCCCAGGCCTCATTTTGTCATCTATAAGATGGGGACAGCTAGGCTAGGCAACTCTGTGAGGTTGAGATGAGGACTTTTGTAAACCATAAAAACACTGTAGAGCTATGGAGTAGTAGTAACAGTAGCGCCCTTCCTGTGTATGACGCTATCTAGCTATGTGGTGATGTTTTATTATTGTGTTAAACGTTAGCCAGCCTCATAGGCTAAGGCTGTTGAACATTGACCTTGATCTACACCCTGTGTGATACACGGAAAGCAGAAATACCCAATCTCTCTCTGTCTGACACAATTGGTTAAAACTGGGAGTGAGTGTGGATGGCTCAAGGCCTGGTTTTATAAAACCTTGGCTGGACACACCCTCCTGACTGTGGGCCAAGGGCAAGACCTTTGTATAGGAAAGACAGTTTATTACAATGCTGATGATACAGGCCAGCACAAGTGTACTGTAGAGCAGTGCTATCCAACCGACATAGATGAGAGCCACAATCAGGAGCCACAGATGTAATTGTAAGTGATCTAGTCCCCACATTTTAAAAAGATCAAATTAAACTTAATACTATATTTTATTTATCTCAATATATTTCAAATAGGTAATTAACATAACATTTATTAATAAGGTATTTTACATTCTTCTTTCCACACTAAGTTTTGAAACCCACTTAGAGCACATGTCAATTTGGACCAGCCATATGGGGCTGGTGGCTACCATATTAGCACAGCTTGAGGGAGATGGCAAAGGTGGCACACTAGTTCCAGGAGAGTCCTGGTCCTCACATCCATTTCTTGCCCATCCCTGCTCTGCACTGCAGAGGGGCTGATCCCTGCCAACTGTGACTCCTAGGTTCCTGGATCAGCTCGGTTCAGCCAATGGGAGACAGGAGGAAGGAAGAAGCCCTTCCCCCCTTCTCCAGCCTCAGGTGGCATTACTAGCAGTGACTGCGACTCCTTCATGGCTCTAGCCCTCTCCATATAGCCTTCTGTGCATGACCCTGATCCCTGGTTCTGGCAACACCATCTCCTGCCTTGTGCCTCAGGTCTAGTGGTGGTAATGGCTTCCTACAGTTTCTCATCTCTGGATTATTTAGTTGCTTAGCTTTTTTTTTAATCACTCCCTGGACTGAATTCCCTGTCTAGGTATTTGCAGTCTCAAAGCATCTCCCCAAGATATTTATTATGGGGGGGGGGAGGAAAAAATGAGAAATCCATCAGACACCACCTTGACTGAGTTATCAAGGATAACATTGTCTATGATAAAATATACCAACATCCTGGACTCCTCAATACGATGCACTGAGAAGGGCACATCACTTCTGACGTGGTCTTGCCAAAAATGCACAATCTCAATCTAATCAGGACAAAACATCAGGCAACTCAAATTGAGGAACTTTCTACAAAATAAGTGACCAGTACTCTTCAAAAGTGTCAAGGTCGTAGAAGACAAAAATGGCCAAGAAAGTTTCACAGATTGGAGGAGAATAAGGAGACATGACAGTTACATGCAAATTTGGATCTTGGAACAGAAAAAGGACATTAGAGGAACAACTGGTAAAATCCTGAATAAAGTTCCATTGTACCAATGTCAGTTTCTTAGTTCTGATCATTGTACTGTGGTTACGTAAGATGCTCATATTAGGGGAAGCTGGATGACGAAACAGGTTCATGGGGATGCCCTGTACAATTTTTGCATCTTTGCTATAAATCTAAAATAATTTCAAAATAGAAAGTAACACATATGTGTGTGTATATACACATACATATTATATACATACAGGGTGGGGCAAAAGTAGATTTAACAGTTGTTCACATGGAAAATAATACAATAATTAACAAATAATAATACAAGAATAATCTGTTTCACATACAACTATTTGTTAATTCACTTTTGCTCCACTCTATATATGTATATAGGTATCTATATCCATCTATCTATAAATGTTTAAACTACTGCAAAAACAATCCCTCTGTTTTATATACTTGAGTGGCTTCTTTCCTGCTTGGGGCCTGGCTGACAGGGTTGGGGACGCCAAGGCACGCAGTGACTACTGGCCATGGAGTAGGCTAGATCTTGTCTAGTCCTATAAGAGCCTTGCAGAGAAAGGCTTCCTTCTTCCAGGCGTCCCAAACACTCCAACCCTAGCGCATAGTGCTGATGTGACACCCCCTAGAACACTGCCTTGAGCATGGGTGCACCTCGTCTGAGGTTCAGCATGGTCCCTGGCAGGGTGGGGCTGGGAAGCCAGGATGGCTCCCCTGGACCAACATGCATAGAGGAGGCCAAAGCCTCACACATGGCCATAGGCAACCCTGCCCTTCTGGTTAGGCTTTCCTAGAGCAGTTCCAAGCTTTGATGAGACGGCTTGGCTTCGTCAAATCCATCCTTAACTTTATCCACCAACCAGAATCCATTTCCGAGTGCATTCGGTATGTGGCCTGCCACACCTCCCTTCACAGACGAGGCCCAGGAAAGGAAAAGGGGGAAGCCAAGATTCCTGGAGAAGAGCTAGCCTGGGGTGGGTTGCCAGTCAGCTCAGGGGCAGACCGTGGGAAGCGTGACTTTCTGGCTAAGGAGTCAGAGACTTTTCCTGGATAGAAAGGATCAGAAGAGAAGGGCCACCCTGTTAGGAAGGCTGAACTGGCCTGGGGGGAAGCCGGTCAGGAGGTTGGAATGCAACATTCAGGCTTCCACTGAGAGTGGAGGCAGAGATGGATATGAGGGCCTGAGAGCACGGTACAGACAAGCAGTGAGCGAGGGGCTGACTGGCATGAAGGAAAGCGAGCCAGATGGTCAAGTCGCAGAAACCCACCCCAGAGGCCCAGCCAGGGCTGGGTAGAGACATGGCCCTGGATGAAGTTGTTGGAGGAGGGAATGTGGTCCAACCATGCAGAGCTTTCCTGACCCCTGGGGGAGGAATTTAGTGTGAGTCACCACACCTATTCCAGCAAGCTGTGTGTGTGACAACCCACCTCCAACTGCCAGCCACGCAGCAGCCCCAAGCAACATCCTCCCCTCCGCTGCTGTCTGAATCACCTCCACTGGGAAAGTGTTTCTTCCCAGTCCAAACCCTGGGAGCTCTCCCTTCCCTTTTCCAAAGCTCCTCCCTGCCTCTGTTGGGACTCCACTCTCAAAGCTGTCTGCTTTCTTCTGAGGCCGTAGCTATACCACCTCCTTACCCTGGGCCCTAGTAAATCTCCAGACACAGACCTTCCTGAACTGGTCCTTACCTATATGAGATGATTTCAGGGTGGAGAGACTCCCCCAGCCACCCCAACACTCTCTTCCACACCACCTCCATGCCTGACTCCCACACACAGAGCATTTCTCCAAGGTAAACCAATTTACAGCTAGGAGTGAGTCTTGCGTGTGTGTGTGTGTGTGTGTGTGTGTTGGGGGGTGGGGTGGTAAAGGTGATTTCCCCTGAAAAAGGTCATGGAACACAAATAGGCAGGAAAAGTGGGACATTTTTATACATGGGAACAGTGAACATCAAATTCATATGGTTTGGGGTCTCCACCATAGCTATTATAATCTATTTCTTTATTTAAAAAACTGAAACAAAGATGGCACAGGGTTAATATTTTATAAACGGAGTACAGGTGTTTATTCTGTACTCAAAGGAGATGTCCATCCTACTAGTCTCTGCTGTCACTGGACATTTAAAATATTTCACGCACTAAAAAGAATTAAAATCTGTTATAATTTATGATTTAAAATAATATAGTTCTATAAGTCATATTATATATATATATACATATATATACACATATGTACATATATATACACACACACCACACATATATATGTTGATAAAAGCATAAAAAAAGGTGAGGAAGCAACTCACCAATCTGATGGGGGTAGGGTAAGGCAGTGGAAGGACGCAGCGGCTAAGGGAGATTCTATTGGTAATATGTGAATTCTTGGGTACCATGAGAATGTATGCCTATAGTACTTATATAAGTAAAGATAAATTATTTTTTAAAATAAGGGGAAAATATAAAATGAGTCCCCCATGCTCAACCACCCCACAGCTCCCCTTAAACTCACTTCTTCTGTTAAGCCTTTCATGGGTGGTCCACCATTGAGCGCTTCCTCCTATGAGCAAAGACGGCCAGGGAGGTGGGGAGATTCAAAGGCCGGTGGAAATGAAGGGATAGGTTAAGGGGGGATGAGGAATCAGGGAACAGGGAAGGCAGAATGAAAGAAAAAGAGAAGAAAAAACACTGTGAGAAGGAGACGTCAGGCCAATCTGAATACTTGGATCCCAGCCTCCCTACGGGCAGGGTTGCCTCTCCCTTTGAAAGGTCACTTGCATTTACAACAAAACCCAGGACTGCTAAGTGCCTGACAGCATCAAAAAGGAATATCAGAGATAGCTTCACCCTCACTGGCTCTTTATTTGACTTATCGACAAGAATTTATTGGAAAGTACCCCTAAGTGGAGACAGACATGCCCTGCTGTGGCTGTGGTTGTCAACCTTAGTGGACATCAGAGTCACATGGGGGCTGATAAGAATGCAATACCCTGGCCCCTCCCAATTCAACTGCACTCTGAGGTGGGGCCTGTCCAAGCTTCCTGAGCGATTCCAATGGGCAGCCCGAGTTGTGAACACTGATTTCACACCTGGTGATGATCCGCAAGACCACCCACTAACATTAGAAGTGCCAAACTTGCCCCACTTCGAACATCCAAATTTCTTCCACAAAAGTTTAATGGTCAATGAGATTCAGAGTCCTACGTCTCACTCTATAGGGGGAAAAATATATTAACCACCCAACAGCCTGTACCCAGCAGGGAACCTAAAGTAGGTGGGGAAGGGGTAAGCACCAGGGCCCAGCTCAGCCATCACTGGCAGTGCGGTTTGGCTAATTCCTGTTTCTGTGTCTCAGTCTTTTCTTCTGCAGAATGGGGCTACAATCCCCCCCTACACCCAAGCACAGAGTGAGGACAACTTTCAGGATATGCCTTTGGGGACTTGGGATCCATTGGAGGGCAGGCACTCTTGAAATGCATGTGTGGGGGTGCGTGATTTAAAATGTTATTCTAAAAGCACTGGGAAACTTGGAGCATACATTCTCTTGGTTGCTCATCTAAAGAAATGGAAACTTGCTTTCCCCTCCCCTCCTCTTCCATCTACCCATCCTTCCATCCTTCCATCCTTCCATCCTCCCATCCATCCATCCATCCATCCATCCATCCATCCATCCATCCATCCATCCATCTTTCTAGTTGGTGCTGGGGGAGAGGTAGGGAGGACCCAACTGGACAAGCATACATTTTCCTCCTGAGTGTCAACTGTCATCTCAGATCCTAAGGAAATGACCTCACCAACTGAAGAACAACACTCCATTCCCTCAAGCTTTCTCAAGGTTTCCAAGATTCTTAACAATTTTCCTCTCCCAGAAACATTAAAACACCACCACAGACAGGCAGACGGGGACATTCTCTGCGGTTATTTTTGTTCTTTGTTTTTGGCTTCCATTTAAAATAGTCATCAGATTAAATAAAAACAATCAAAAGTGCTTTAGCAGAAAGATTTCCCATAAGGCTATGTCTACAGAATGTGTTATGTAGACACTTCTAAGCCTGGCCTTGCTTAGAGTTGTCCACAGCTGTGCCCTCCTCTGGAGTCTGTCTGTACCCCAGCTGTGTATGTGGGGTGTATGTGGGACAGGGAGTGGGGGGTGGGATCAGGATTGAAATGTCCCTCCTTGGCCAGCAGCACACAGGCAGACCTGCCCAGTGCTCACATTCTTCTAGGGAAGTTCAGAAAATGCAGAAAGTTTAAGGAATGCATCCAGACGTTACCAGTGTTTCCCATACTCGGCCTCACAATAAACATGTTTATTTTTTCATTTTTACCTTTTAAAATTTTATTATTTTTTTAATCTTCACCCGAGGATATGTTTTTTTATTGATTTTTTAGAGAGAGGAAAGGAGAGAGGAAAACATGGATGTGACAGAGAAACATTGATCAGTTGCCTCCCATATGCACCCTGACTGGGGAATGAACTGGCAGCCTAGGTATGTGCTCTGACCAGGAATTGAACCTGCAACCTTTCGGTGTACGGGATGATGCTCCAACTAACTGAACCACCTGGCCAGAGTAACAAACATCTGTTTAGAAGCCCCTCCAGATGTGGATGTTGGAGTGTGGTCAGGCCCAACCTATCCCAGGAGCAGGAGCAGGCAGTGCAGGGCCCAGACTGAGGGCACCTCTCTATTTGCTGTCTGTGCTTAGAACTTAGCAGTCACCACAGGAAGGTCAAAGTTGCTGGCAGGCCCCTCCTTCCCAAAGTATCTTCCTAGTGTCTGCTCTGGAAACCAAAAATTCACAAAGCTTTCCTCTGGGGTGAAGCTTCATGGCTTCCTTAGACCTTCCTCCTGTAAGAGCCCATTTCACCTGGAAGAACCTTTGAAAGATGCCCTGTGGGAGGCCACCAGGGTCTGCATGGTGGAGGAGGCAGGCTGCACGCACCAGGCCAGCCCCACCCACCTGTCCATGGGGCCTGCTCCTGGGGGAGTCAGTTCCAGGATGCGTACGGGAGGCGGCAAGAATTGGTTCCTCCCCTGCCTGCCCTTCCAAATCTTGGCCCACAGTCTTTCATCTGAGTACACCTTCCACCCAAGACCAGGGCTGCCACACACTGACCCAGGAGGGGGTGAGACCAGCCTGAGATCCTGGTCAGACACCTCATGTGCCTCACTGGGTCTGACACAGAGCCCCAGGGGATTTCTCGAGAGACTCAGTTCCGTGACCGTGCACAATTGCCTACATTTGAAATCAGAAGAGATATTCTGATTTTGGATATGCATTTTGGATAAGCTGCAACTTCCAGATCTCTTCTACAACATAAGCTTAAGGAAGACAGGGAATAGGGCAGAGCACATAGTAGGCACTCAATAAATCTGTGTTCTATTAATTGCACATTTGCCCAATGGGGCAGGACAGAGTAGAGGTGGGTCAGAGGGTCTGAGAGGGGCTTCCTGCATGGATCCCATGCTCTGTGGGTGGGACCATCTGTATCTCGACAATCTAGGGCCAGGCAACCAGATGCTGTCTGGATTCAGGGTCCCCTTATCACCCCCTTTGAGTTTGCCCAGGCCCCTCTCCCCCTCCCTGGGGCAGTGCTCACCTGGGAGATGTGGGACTGCGTTTTCTCACTCTCACCATCACCTTCCGTCTTGTCTGACAGCAGCCCCTGCACCTGGTACTCGAGCACGTAGCTATCGATGAAGCGTTCAAGCTCCTCGATCTCCNTTTGACTTATCGACAAGAATTTATTGGAAAGTACCCCTAAGTGGAGACAGACATGCCCTGCTGTGGCTGTGGTTGTCAACCTTAGTGGACATCAGAGTCACATGGGGGCTGATAAGAATGCAATACCCTGGCCCCTCCCAATTCAACTGCACTCTGAGGTGGGGCCTGTCCAAGCTTCCTGAGCGATTCCAATGGGCAGCCCGAGTTGTGAACACTGAGAGGGGCTTCCTGCATGGATCCCATGCTCTGTGGGTGGGACCATCTGTATCTCGACAATCTAGGGCCAGGCAACCAGATGCTGTCTGGATTCAGGGTCCCCTTATCACCCCCTTTGAGTTTGCCCAGGCCCCTCTCCCCCTCCCTGGGGCAGTGCTCACCTGGGAGATGTGGGACTGCGTTTTCTCACTCTCACCATCACCTTCCGTCTTGTCTGACAGCAGCCCCTGCACCTGGTACTCGAGCACGTAGCTATCGATGAAGCGTTCAAGCTCCTCGATCTCCTGGGAACGGCTGCTCCCAGCCTCGGAGGAGGCCGATGCTGCTGAGGAGTTCTCCATCCCTCCAGCTCAGGGACTGGGTCAGGGCTGTGGGAGAGAAAGAACAGGCTTTGTGAGACAAAGCTGGAGGCAGAGATGATGCCCTCATTAGTGTGAAGCATATGCTTTAATTCCCCTGACCCACCTGGAAGTGGGGAGAGCTAGAACCTTTCTCACCTCTAGGTCCCTTCCCACCAGGGACCCTCCCCTTTTCCTGACAGGATCTGAGCCAGATAGGAAGGGGCTTCAAAGCTTGTCTGGTATCCCTTTCACTGTCTGGAGATTACTGCTCTACAGGTGGAGCCCACTCAGCTGGAGGAAACAGTCTGTACGTGGTTTCACCATCAGAACTAGTAGAATAGTCGTCTCCCAAACCACCACCATTGGACACACACAGAGGACCTGAATAATGTATGCACGGAACTCCGAGACCACAAAGGGCTGCGTGTGCCTAGACTATGACTGTTGGTAATAAAGACAAGGTCCTAATATGTTTCAAGGAACATTTGAATTTCAAAACCTTGGAATACTGAGAACTTTTTTAGAAAGTAGTTATTTGCCAATGACCAATGTTTTGTTGAGTTTTTAACTAATGGATACAAAGCAGGGCAAGGAATGGCCCGCTGGGTTCCAGAAAGGCTATGAAATTCACAAATGCTGACTCCCCCACACCCTTGCTGGCCTTCTTAGGGGTTGGGTTGGCAACGGTGGAAACTCAGTTTTTTTATTTTTGGCTACTGCAAGGAGCCCAGCCTCCCTGGGACCCCAGGCCCGCCGCAGCAGAGTGTATGATGCTGTAGGGTGCTTCATCTGGGCTCCTGAGCTCAGTAGCCTTGGGGTTTGTAGCCTATCCCATTCCAGAGGGAGCAGTCTGAGGTTTCAGGTCCAGGAGCCCTCATCAGAGTGAGGGAACCCCAGTGTGGAGGCTTAGGTGGCAGTGGGTCTGAAGGGAGTCAACTCAGACTGGAATAAGCATGCCTAATGGTGCAAGGCCACAGTCAGAGGTGGGGGTGGGGATGTCCAATGCCCCTTCCTCCACCTGCCATTCAAGGCCTATAGTGGCCTTACATCCCTCCCACCACCACCACCCACCTTACCCCTCCTGCTCCCACAGCTGCCCATGTCCCCCTTTGGCCCCCTGTCTACTCTGCTGCTTGCCCCATATGCCTATGTGCTAGGCAGAAACATAAGAGGCTCCTGGGTGTACACCTTCTCCCAGTTACTCAATGAAACACCACCCTAAGGTGTCCTGGGAAGGGATTTTGCAAATACAATTAAATTTGAAATCAGCAGACTTTCATATATGGAGACTATGCAGGAGGGCCTGATCCATCACATGAACCCCTTAAATCTGGGACTGGAGCTAGAGACGGAGATTCAAAGCACAAAAAAGACAGGACACACTACTGCTGGCTTGAAGAAGGAAGGGGCATGTACAAGGAATGTAGCAACCTCTAGGAGCTGAAAGCAATCCCTTGTCAATGACAGGAAGAAGAAGGGCACCTCAGTCCTACAACCACAAGGAAGTCAATTCTGCCAAAAACCAACCAGGAGTTTGGGAGCAGGCTTTGTCGCCCAGAGGCTCCAGACAAGAGCTAAGCCTGGTGAACCTTGATTTCAGCCTTGTGATATACCAAGTGTGACTCTGATGTCCAGAACTGGGAGATAATACATGGTACTGTTGTAAGCCATTAAGTTTGTAGCAATGTGTTAGGCAGCAATAGAAAACTAACATGCAATGAATGCTCTGCCTCTGCTTTTGCTCACATTGTACCCCTCAACCAGAAGCACTTTCCTACTCCCTCCACCCACCAAATCTAGAGGTCCTTACACTCACAGAATGCTAAAATAGCGCCTTAGAGGCCATATGGCAACTGGTCCAATCCCCAGGTTTAATGGTGACTAGTGGGCAAAGGATTCACCCAGCCTTGGTTTGTGGACATGAACACTGTGACTTCTAACAGGAATAGCTAATGTGTACTGTGCCCAGATCAAGTGCCAGGCACTCTTCTCAGCACTTGATATGCATTTAGACACTTACCCTCACAACAACTCTATGAAATCAGTATAATTATGCTACTTAGAAAATGGAGGTTCAGAGAAGTTAAGTAAGTTGTGTAACTTAGCACAGCAGAGCTCCAGGTCTGCCTATATCTCACTGCCTCTTCACCCCCCTCCTGGCAGCCTGCTCAAGCCCTCAGGACATTTCCCCTTCTCCAGTCCCCACTGTCCTTCCAGTGCACAGTGAATTTAAGTGCTGTGTGTATGTTTCTTACTCTGCAACAGGGATACAGGCTCTGGAGTGCTGGGCCCGTGCCCAGCTGCTGGTCTCAGCCAGATGGCATAAGATTGATGTCCAGAGAGAGCTGAAAAGGAACCGCCTGCAGCAAAAGGTAGTGCCTAGGGCCATGCCTATTATTCCTCGAAGACTTCAGATCTTATCTAGGGCTTTCTGGCGCCCTTCACAGGTACAGGTGGAGGACTGGGTTTTGCAGGAACTTGCATGGAGCTCTTCCAGGACTGCGTGCCTGGCTCTGCCTCCTGCAGCAGCCTCTGTCCTGCTCTGCTGGGCTCTCCTGGACTCACACAAGTCTCCCCTGGGGCTGTACCTTAGTCCCATGAGGGAGCCCCAAATCCACACTGGCTCACTGAGGAAAGGGATAGGCACTGACCCATTCCAACCCTGCAGAATTTTGGTTCCCAGAGGGACAAAGAGGACGTCCCCTCACTTGTCTTGGACATGTCCTATGGCACATCCTCTCATCTGCCCTTCTGCAGTCACTGCTGCCCAAACAGATTCATGCAGCAGAGCCGTACAGCACCTGACCTTGGCCACCCTGAGAGCCTTCTGCCGGGGCTCCACTGACACACGTCAGTCGGTATCTGCAGGATCCCACCTGGCATGGGTACCTGTACTCTGGAAATGCAAGGAGCTAACATGCCTGGGCACACACTCCTTTTTTGGTCTCTCAAATTACACTTCTGAAGTGCTGTGAACATGGTCCCTCAATGTATCCAAGTAGATGGAGCCCCAGCTGCCCACAATGGTGACCAGATCCATATACCTCTTTGTCTGGCTCTCCCCGCTCCTATGTCACTCCCCCAGGGACTCCTGCTCCTGGGGTGCTTCCAAGAATTCTGCTTTCTGAGGGAAACCAGGCTAAACTGTCACTTGGGCTCCCTTGTTCATTCTAGAATGAGTCCCAACCAGGGAGCCAGAAGCCCCTCCTTCAGCAGAAAAGCCCAGCTTTATCTTGTACATG